ACATGCACTTCTAACATCCAGCTTTGTCTGGATGCCTCTTGGAGAAGTACTCAAAATATGGAAAATACATGAAAACTTCACTGGTCCAACAAAGATACAATTCTGTTTAACTATGACCCCTAAAAATCAAGTTGTTTTTTAAGGATCTTATATAGCCCAGACTAACCTCTGCGTTGCTTCATTGCTGCGGCTGGCCTCGAACTCCTGTTCCTCTGGCTCCATCTCTTGAGTGCTGAGATCAGAGGCATGTGCCACCATGTCCCCCGGTTTTATGTAGTCCTGGGGGTTGAACACAGGACTTTGTGCATGCCAAGCAAGCACTTTACCATCTGAGTTGCATCCTCAGCCCTTGTTTTGTGTGTTTATCTAACAGATCTCAACCTGACTCACTCTACTCTTTCTTAGCCATCTGATCCTGGGCCAATTATTAAGTAAACACTTTAGGCTTCAGCTTCCTCTTTTGTAAATTGGCAACAGTTGTACTTGTGCCAATGTGTTACGGGCCTGAGAATCTGATACATACACTTTCCTGCTGTGCCTTATACTTGTCTCCCATCACTGAAGTTACCATGCCAATAATAATATATGACCATCATAAAGAATAGGTATGTTAAGCCTTGTACTCACTACCAAGCTCAAAACACCAATTCATCATTAGCCAATATCTTACATATGAAGGACTTGCTTTCCCCTTTAGGAAATGGAAATTCCAGGACAGACTATGACAATTCAATCCCTAAGAGTTCTAAGAAGTAAGGGAAAGTTGCCCTTTAAGTACAAACATTGAGCCACATCCTCTGAGTTTTAGAGTTTAAGGATCAGATATGCAGGAGTCACAGAGTACAGAGAAATCAGAGTGAACATGATAAAGAACAGTGTGGAACACTGTTTCATATATATATATATATATATATATTTAATTTTACATATCAGCCACAGATTCCCCTGTCCTCTCTCCTCCTACCCCCCAGCCCTCCCCCCCAATCAACTCCCCATTCCCACCTTCTCCAAGGCAAGGTCTCCCCTGGGGATTCAGCTCAGCCTGGTACATTCAGTTGAGGCAGGTCCAGTTCCCTCCTCCCTTCACCCAGGCTGAGCAGAGTGTCTCAGCATAGGCCCTAGGTTCCAAAAAGCCAGCTCCTGCACCAAGGACAGGTCCGGTCCCACTGCCTGGGGGCCTTCTGAATAGTTCAAGCTAATCAACTGTCTCACTTATCCAGAGGGCCTGGTCCAGTTCCATGGGGGCTCCTCAGCTATTGGTTCACAGTTCATGTGTTTCCACGAGTTTGGCTCTTTGTCCCTGTGCTTTTTCCAATCATGGTCTCAATATCTCTTGCTCATATAATCCCTCCTCTCTCTGGCCGATTGGACTGCTGGAGCTCTGCCTGGGGCTTGGCTGTGGATCTCTGTATCTGCTTCCACCAGTCACTGGATGAGAGTTCCATCATGACATTTAGGGTGTTCAGCCATCTGATTACCAGAGTAGGTCAGTTCGGGCTTTCTCTTGACCATTGCCAGTTGTCTATTGTGGAGGTATCTTTGTGGATTTCTGGGGACCTCTCTAGCACTCTGCTTCTTCCTATTCCCATGGGGTCTTCATTTATCATGGTATCTCTTTCCTTGTTCTCCCAGCTGGATCAGGAACAGAGTGGGGGAACACTGTTTATTATGCTCAGATGATTGAAAGCTGCTTGCAGTTCTGTGGTCTTATCCTTGGTATCAGGCACACAACCTTGGTAGACGTGCCTCATGCTCCACTTGCTGTCACACCACTGGCTCTTTTCCAGGCCTCTGAGACTGTTGCTGGGGCTACTAGTGATGCATTGTCTCCATCTTGTTAGTTTCCTTGGAAATATGAATAATGCTTTTGGTCAGTACTTGGGACTTCAGTGAGGCTTCCTCCAGCCACTTGGATGTGAGATTGTGAAGAGAGACAAATATGCTTCATTACTGGCTGCCTCCACCAATGTTCACTCAAATAGTTCAGTAACAAGTGGGTCCTGTAGAGAGCCTGAATTTCTGCTGGTTGGCACCACTATTGTTATGAAAACCTCCCAGAAGACAGGCACTGAGAACAATTGTTTTGCCATGTTGGAAAAACTGTGCCCTGCTTCCAAAACCACGAGGTCAGGTGAATGTTATATCCCAGCTATGAATGTATGAGAGGAAGGTCTCGGTAGGTCTCTCATTTAGAGTGCAGTTCATATGGCTTTCAACTGTTCTGGTTTAAGCATGACATCCTCAGCTTGACCCTTGGGTGGCAAAGGAGTGGAGATTATGATGTACAGTGCGCATCTTGTTCCTTGAACTCAAGTATTGACATACGTCATCTTTGTGTAGCATTGTTTGACACTATCAGTTTGCAGCACAAACATAATTATTTGTCTTTTATAATTTTACTTCAAAGTAAGTGCATAACACATTGGAGTAGAGATCCCTAGTAACTCCAAGGTTTGCCAAGTGTGCCCACTACATACCCTTCCATTCATTTTTTTTTAAAAATGCATGGTGGTGCAGGTCTTTAATCCTAGCACTCAGGAAGGAGAGGCAGGCAGAAGGCCAGCCTGGTCTACAAAGTCAGTTCCAGGACAGCGAGGATTGTCACACAGAGAAACTTTGTCTAAAGAAAAATTTAAAAATGTGGTAATATGTCTAACAATGTATATAACATTTTCACATTTCAACTGGGCATTTCAGCATATAAGTACATTTATGTTTTTATATAATCACCAACTCGCTTCACAGTATAAAAACTTAAAAATCTACACTCACTTAGCAATAATCACCCACAGCTTTCAGAAATCACCATTCCACCTTCTCAATGTATTTGACTACTCTTTTTTTTTTTAATCTCATTTAGTGGGTTCATTCAGATCTGCCTTCTTATTTTCAGTTTCAATTCACACTGATAAAACCTACTACTATAGAAGTAAGGAGTTTAAGTGGAATTTCCATATAATGGGGGCGACCATGTCCTAATTAGAAATCATATGCTACCAAATAAAACACTCAGTGCCAGGAGTGGCTTGAATCTTTTTTGAGACTTTGGCCAAAGGAATCCCACCGATCCCTCCATAAACATTGTTGGCTACTGCCAACGCTATTAGTCATGCTCTGCAACCTGATGGTAAGACCCAGTTACTAAAGACACCCCCTAGTTATGTCATCCAACATGGAGAAATAGAGCTAGTGCTCAACTAGAAGCTTTATCCCTACTGACTAGCATTCATTGTGTGGAAAAGTGCTATACATGTTACCAGAGAAGAAAAGTCATCGTGAACCTTGCCATGAACTACAGTAGTGACCTGCCTGCAAGATAGACCTACTGGTGCAATATTGCACAAACATTACAGGAGTAACTGACGGTTTGAATGAGAATTGCCATCCTAGGCTCCTGTGTTTGAGTGTTTTGTCCCCAGTTAGTGGAATCGTTTGGGAAGAATTAGGAGGTTTAGTCTTATTGAAGGAAGTGTGTACCTGGAAGTGAGCTGTGAGGTTTCAAACGCCTACACCAGGTCCTTTCTCTGTCTACTTGTGGATCAGATGTGAGCTCCCAGCTCTTGTTCCCGTGCCAGCCTGCTGCCATGTTCCTCACCATGATGTTCATGGACTAACGCTCTGGAACTGTAAGTAATCCCCCAATTAAATGCTTTCTTTTATAAGCTGACTTGGTCTTGTGTCTCTTCACAGTAATAGAACAGTAACTAAGAAAGTAAGCAAATGTTTTTTAAAGGTTGGATTGAAGGCTCATTCCATGAGATGGAATCCATATCTGACACTGTAAATGAGGCCAGGAAACTGAGGCTAGACAGGTCATGGACCTCAGAGTGAAACCTACTGTTATTCTGCTAAAGGAACGTAGAAATAAAATGATCCTGGAGAACATATTACTATGTCCATAGATCAGTGCATTGCTCAACCCTTATCAGAGAAGCCTCTCACAGTAGATGGAGTTTAACACAGAGACCTACAACTGGATGGTGTGTACAAGGGGACTCAGTCCTCGATGGGATGTCTTTATCACATCCCTCTCCTCAAGGCTCATGGATTTATGCGGACGTGGAGGTGGAAAATTTGAGAGAGCCAGACATGGTGATGACTCCAAGGACAGTGCATCTTTCAGACACAGCAGGGCTGATACAGATGTAAACTCACAGAGAATGTGATAGCCTGCACAAGACCTTCTAGCTAGACAAAAACCTCAGCACAAAGAATGGAAGTGGATACAGTGTCTCACAGGTACAAGAAGCTATTTCCAATTGGTAGCTGATGGGAGAGGGAAAAAAACCAAACCAGTTTTCTTTGCTGGAATGACACTGGGCATATCAACCACACTCCACAGCAGGCCTAATTCTCAGGAATAGTTGGCCAACACAAAATGCAGATGATTTTTTTTTTTTTAAGACAGGGGTTCTCTGTGTAGCTTTGGAGCCTGTCCTGAAACTTGCTCCTGTAAACCAAGCTGGTTTTGAACTCACAGAGATCCACCTGCCTCAGCCTCTTGAGTGCTGGGATTAAAGTTGTGCACCACCATGCCTGGCTGCAGATGATTTTTTTTGTTGTTGTTGTTTGCTTGTTTTTAATGTGTGTGTGTGTGTGTGTGTGTGTGTGTGTGTGTGTGTGTGTGTGTGTGTGCTTTTTGGTTTTGTTTTGCTTTTTAAGAGAGAGAAAGAACATGAAGGTTGAGAGTTTAGGGAGGTAGAAATAATTGGGAGGTGTTGAGGGTGGGAAAAGAATATGATCAAAATATGTTTCATGAAAAAAGATAGAGCAGACATGATAGAAGTCAGTGTGAATGTTTCTCAGAAAACTAAAATCAGAACTACCATGTGATTCAGCTATCCATCTCGAGGATATATACCTGAAAAAGTGTTAGTCAGCATACAACATGTAACCAGCCAAGCTCAGGAAGACAAACATCACACTTTTACTCATATGCACAATCAACATTAAAAAGTTACAAATAATGCTTTAAATAATGCTTTTTTTTTTTTTTTTTGTTCTTGACATTCAGCTCTTTATTAGTGGTGAAAATCACCTTTGTTTAGGCAGCAAGGCAGCGGGGACGGACAAGACCAGCGCCCATCCGAGGGGATTTCCCGGGAAATCAGGTGTTTCTCCATGCATATTTAGAGATAACACCATCATGGAAGAACTCCCCCCAGAGTGCAGCCAGTGATCACCAAACCCGGATGCCAGGAACACCTTAGGAGCTGCTGGGCTGCTGGGCCAGCAGGGCTTCTATGTCAGGTTAGATGTCGATGGTGCAAAAGCGGCGGCTGTATCTGCGCACTGGAACACCGTCGCGGCCCACCAGGAACTTCTCGAAGTTCCAGGCAATGTCGTTGCGGCACACCGGAGACCAAATGATGGACTTGGGGTCGGTCATGAGCGCAGTGGGCTCGTCACTGGGTGCCGGCAAGGACTCCCGCAGGAAAGTAAAGAGCGGGTGGGCCTTCTCACCATTCACCTCACACTTCTCGAACAATGTAAAGTTGGGTTCGAACCCCCCACCGGGTCGGATATACTTGAGGGAATCCAGAATCTCTTCGTTTTTGGCATTCTCCTGATGTCCGAACTGATTGCACGGGAAACCGAGCACCATCAGGCCACGAGGCCCGAAGCGTTTCTGCAGATCGTTCATCTCGGTGTAGTCCCGGGTCGTTATAAATAATGCTTTAAAGATATGATACGGGAAGGGGGACTACTTTAGTTCTCAAGAAGATGATCAGTTCCATCCATTTTCCTACAAATAACATAAACTTCACTCTTCTACATGGCTTAAAATTTGTGCATATATAGTCCAAATTTTCTTTATCTATTCCTCTGTTGATGGACACTGAGGCTGATTCCTTAGCTTGTCTGTTATGAATAGTGTCACAGTAAACATGGGGTGCCAGTTATCTGTTGTAAGCTCATTTAATCTAAATGGGGTATGGATATGACCAAAATATAAAATATATGTATGAGAATGTCATATGAACCCATTATTTTATATAATGAATGTACATATTAAAAGAAAAATAAATAAACAAGAATATACAAAAAAGTTATTTAGTACCCAACTGAGCATGAAAATCCATGCTGAGTGTTGGGTGAATCCTGCTATTTATCTTAATGCCCTGCGAACATGTGTATGTGTGCCTTGCGTTGTTCTGATTCCATAATAATAAAGCAACTCTCTGGTTATGGTATGCTTTTCTAACTTACATGCAGCTAGCTATTTCCAAACCTCCATCCCATCTTGTTTTATATTGTATAGTGTTATAATGAGGTTTGAAGGGTAATATAATTCCTTAACTCCAGAGATAAGTTATAAACATGTTTCCATAACCACATATGTTTTGTCACAATGACCAGTTTCCTTGGATATTGACCTAGGTCTAACCCAATCCTCTGGCTATAATGATTAGCTCATGGGGAGGTGTGACTGCTAATTTTAACAGTCAACGTGACACAACCTTGAATCACCTGGAAAGAGAGTTTCAATGAGGTGTTGTCCAGATCAGGTTGGCCTAAAGGCATGTCTGTTGGGGGTTGTCTTGATTATGTTCATTGATGTGAGAAGACCTAGCCCACTGTGGGTGGCACCATTCCCTAGATTTCTGGTTTCTGGGTGCTGAGTGTATGAGTTTAGGCAGTATCGTAAGCACTAGAGGCATGCATGTGTTCATTTCTCTCTGGTCTTGACTGGCTGTGATGTGACTGTTTCAAGTTTCTGCAGCCTTGGTTTCTCTGCAGTAATAAAATGTAATATGGAATTGTGAGCTAGAATAAGCGCTTCCTTCCTTAGGTTGCTATTTGACAGGGCATTTAATCACAGTGACAGAGACGAAAGTAGGACAGCAGATATGTACTTAGGTTGGTCCAATCAAAATAAAGTTTAGGCCTTTTACTTGGTGATTAGGCAGAAGTCTTTGCCTCTGATTGAATTTCAGCCACAAAAATAGGAGGGTGCCGATGCAATGGAAAAATATAGGAGAGAATTTCATTCTTGGTGATGCTGGATCAAGTCTTGCCTTAAGCCTCCCTACAACTTATCTTCTGAGTTATATAAATCAGTTTAGTATTTTTTTTTTTTTTACTATTTAACCAAACTTGAATTGGCTTTTTCCAATCACTAATTTTTAAGTACATTCTAACAAACTATCTGTGAAATTCTTTGTACAGGTTCATAAAATAGTGATTAAATGGAGTTCAGCACCCCTTTCTCCCTCCCTTTGATACTGATTTCTCATTGTGAGAAAATACCTCTTTTTCTGGCCTTGCCCACTAGTTTCTTTAGTGATCGGTTCATTGTCAGGATCCTGACAAACTAATTCTTAAGTTTATGGGACTGCTTAGTGCTGACCTTCAGGGTGATGGGTATTGTTCTATGGGGGTATGTTGGGAGAAGATCTTGATGAACTTGCTGCTTGCCTTGATGGTACTCTTGGAATAGTTCCTTTTCCTAGTTTCATTGGCTTCTCTAAAGTAACAGTCAGTTCTAGACACACCTGATTGCTAACACTTGACATCTTAGTACTGGTTACATTCTCTGGCTCCGCTTCCTTCCTCTGAAGTCTGAACCCTTTGTGTGTTGTGATGGGAACCATATTGGCCAACACAGTACTTAGCTTATAATAGGTTGACTTTAAATGTGAGGAGCCTGTCTAACTCTGACTTTGACGTCTCAGAGAATATCAGAAGATGCCGTTGAAAGCTCACACTCTTACCAGTCTTGTTTCTCCACTGTCTTAGTCAACTTGCTTATTTACATTACAGAATCTCACAGAATAGTTAATTTTCAGAACTAGATGGACCTAGTGGTGCCAGACTGTGATCTCAGCCACACATGGGTTTGGGGAAGGATCATAAGTTCAAGGTCTGCCTGGACTCCTGATGAGTTCTAAGATCGTCTGTCAACTTAGTGAGACTTTATCTCAAAATAAAAAGTAAAAAGAAATCTGGGGATATACTTGGCACAGCACCTGACTAGCATGTCTTGTGTCCTAGCTAGGTTCAATCTCTAGTAATGCACACACACACACACACACACACACACACACACACACACACACACACATCTTTTCATAGCACGGAAGTCCAGTGCCAGAGGCTGTGGTGAGAGTTTTCCTTCTGTTCTCTTACATGGTGAAAGGTGGGAAGAGGAGAGGGACTAGGGCTGATATCTCTTTTTCCTTCAGGTGCGTGTTATTGAATGCACAGCCTTATAAATGGAGAGCATGTACATTTTATCACTGAGCTACATTCCCAGCCCTGATCTCATCTTTTTATCAGGAGCCTACTTCTGTGACAACGGACACTCTTGCAAGAACAACTTTAACCCACCCACAAGGACAAAACCCTCACAACCTTCTTACCTCTTAAAGGTGCCATCTCTCCACACAGTTACATCAGAACTCAAAGTTCTAACACATGAATGTTGAGTAGTCATTCACACCATAGCAGCCACTTTTCCCATTTAATAAGGTCCTGGGTTAAGAACTTTCTGGTAATGTATGTCTCACTGTTTTCTTCTTCATATTCCCTTTAAGAAATCTATGCATCAGGCAAGGTATGGTGGCACACACCTTTAATCCTAGCACTCATGAGGCAGAGGCAAGCAGATCTCGGTGAGTCTGAGGCCAGCCTGGTCTGCACAGTGAGTTCCAGGAAGCCAGAGCTACATAATGAAATGCTGTCTCAAAAAGCACAGCAAAGCAAAGCAAAACAAAGCAAAGCAAAACAAGAGGAAATGAAAGAAATCTATGCATCATTCCTCTTTCCTCCACTGGCCCTGAGTAAATGTACTGAGCATGGACTTGGAATATCACATTAACAGTGTGTTGTTCTCACCTGGGATGCATATGCAGTGTTTCTTAAGGACTAAAGATGCTTGAAAAGCCAACAAGAGGCTGCAATCATCCAGAAAACCTGAGTATTTATTGTTTCTAATTTTATTGTAGAAGTTCCAGGTTCCTCTGATACAGGGAGAGTTATACATGAAACTATATTCGCCTGTCTTTGGGAATTGTTCACAAACATATACACCATCAATTGCTGCTAAATTAAGAACATTTTTCCCTGTCATCACCAAGATAACTTGGGATTCAAATTCACAAACATTTAAATGCAATCACTCTAAACATACTATGGCCTTGACTTGTATTTTCTCATTTTCAGTGATAGGACCATTTAAAAAAAAAAAGAAATAAAGCAAGCTATCTGTGTGAGCTGGTTCAACAGAGTGCCCTGAAAGTCCTGAATAAATTATAGGTAGATTTATGGGTATTGCTCAGGGCTATGGTAGATTGACTGGGTTTAAAAAAATGGGGTCTATTTATCCTGTAGGTCTAGCAGGTCTTAGGTATTAGGGAAAAGAGGTTCCTGAGTGAAAGCTGAATTTCTCTGATCTTACAGATTGCCTCCTGTATATACAGAACCATCTCCAGAGTGGAAATAATTGATTCACATTAAAGTGACACGTTGTCTAATTGGTCACTCAGGAAAACGTTCTCAGTGTGAAGCGACTAACCTTCTGCAAAATCACGGCAGTAAGACAGCTTTCAAAGTCATCCTGATACTTCAAACAAGAAAAAATCAATGCTATCCCAGATGAGTGGGCCTTGTTTACATGCTGTGTGCATCTAAGAACACTTCTTGTGGCTAATGTTTCCCGGGGTTTATCGCACTGGCTACTCCGATGCTCTCATTAGGAGGAGATGACTGGAGATGAGATTTCAGAATTTCTGTTTAGCTTGGCCACTTATGGGGATGTCATTGGATTTACTGGTCTGTGACTTTCCATCTTTGTTGATGAAGAGTTGTCTTGTGAGCTGTGTTCATAAGGGAAAACAATGCAAAGATTATGAGCGAGAGATGGGTTCTGCATTAAGGAGCAGTGCTTCCTTAAATTGGGGCCAAAATGTTAGCAGGAATGGGAGAGCTTGAAAAGTGTCACTGGGTAACTACAGTTTTTGACTGAAGGATCAGAGACCCTGGAAATTATAAATCCCTGTGTAAGGAGGACTATCCTATTTCCTGCTGAAGGGAGTTGTGTGCGCTAGATCCCTACAGTGCTGATTATGTGCCTCCGCTTCTCCTTTCTGCCACGTGGAACTTCTCTTCCAGACTTCTCTTCAGTGGGGTTGATCCCTAGCATGATGGCTGTCTTCACCAACCTTGTGTACTCAGCTTTTGTCACTCAAGCCAGGCATTCAACCACTCACACTATTTGATCTGTGACTAGCATTTTAGAAGTGAAATAACAACAATTTCATCCCTCAAAATATAATTTTCTATTTTATCTCTGAGGTAACTACAATTTTTTATTTTTTTTTTGGTTTTTCGAGACAGGGTTTCTCTGTGTAGCTGGTAACTACAATTTATATATTGTCATCTAATATGTCATCTGATTGACAATACAAAGGACAAGAAAAAAAATGAGGAAAATGTGTAGAATACTATTTAGCCTAGAGTAAACATGTAAAACATTTAGAAGAAATTAGTATGGATTTATATTTTGACCTAATATCCATTTGAGATAAGAACAGAGTCCTATTTTTTAAATTTATTATTTTTTTATGAGTATGAGTATTTTGTTTCATGGATATGTGTACCACTTGCATGCAGTGCCTCCAGAGGCCAGAAGACAGTGTCAGGTCACACAGAATTGGAGTTATAGGAGGTTGTGA